TTGTGATTTGAGAAGTGATTGATGTTATACTTCAGATATCTAGGAGGTTTTTTGTAAATGTCACCATAGCTGGTGGAATGAAGGTTATGATGGTTTGCTGATGCTTCTCTGCTCTTTGCGAGTGTTCATATAAAGCATCGAAATTGTGTTATTATTGTATTTAATTTTATTTGACTCGTATCATTTACATTAAATAAAGTTATTTCATACATGGATTATATGCTTTTGCCATTGATTAATAGAACAAATTATTCTTCTGTGACCATATTTCATCTTCGAACTGTCGTGTCTTTAATAAGCACACTCGCATTAAGAAGTATTACTTAGAATTTATCAAGGACTAAGATGTCATTAAAGCAAATTGATTTCATTTTTAGTGATCTGCAACATGATATATTTAAAACTAACGATGGTCAATATACCTAAAGAATACTTATTTGGAATGGCGGTTTAAATGAATTCTCATTAGTTCGACACGAAGCGGCTTCGTTGGTAATGAGATAGGGAAGGAGACCCATTCCGGTCATAATGAAGACAAGGCCTTGTATATTGCTGATATAATCACTTCGGTAGCCTTAAAGGTACTATGTCCCATTTGCAGCCAACATCAAATTCTGTAGAACCTCGCAGGAATTATAAATATGTCACGTACGTCCATCTGTGAAATGTAAACGTTAGCAGTGTCCTAATATTTAAATTGTGCAAGGAAACCTGTTCACTTTCTAGACTTCACTGTCAGACACTATTAAGTGACTGACTGACTTTCTGTTTTGGTCTTTGGTAATAAAGTACAGGAAATTGAGCTGCAAAGGATACATGAGAAGTCCACATCTATAACCCACTTTTTGTAATGGCCAAAATTAAACTGATTGAATCTTTGCACAGCACAAAACGTACGACCATTCTGTAAAAGGCTCTGAAAATCAGACTATTACTAAATGGATTGCAATCACTAAAGTAGTTTCGACAACTTACTAATGGTCGATATTTTCCCACTAAAAGACATTTTCAAGCCCTTTCGTTTTGAGGGAAGTTCTAAATTAGTTTTATCTTTCAAATGCCGTTTCATTTTCTTGACCTGCAAATGGGACATAATGCCTTTAAAGGAGTTTAACAAATTGATACAAAATTGTCAATCATGGAAGCAGAACATCAGAGAAACAAATTAGTGAATATTTGGAACGCATCAAACGAAGAATAAGACATCATTAATGTTTGAAAGTTCAATTTATTAATAATTGGAATGACCTCCGTTCGAATATTGTTAAATGGCGTGTGTTGTCGGTCATACATGGATGACTTACTAACAAGCATTTATGCTTTCTTATCAGTCAGGTAAAATAACAACCACTACTACTTTTTTTGTTCATATCGTTTCTAAATCTACTCAAACTTATTATTTTGTTTATTTGTTGATGGAACACATATTTTTCTGATGAAATAATAATGATTAGCAAAATGTGTAAATCATGTTTGTTTTTCTGCTTTCACTCAAGTCAATATGATGTAAGGATGATAATCCATTGAGGGTTTATTTCTGTATGCTCATTTCAATAAACCAGGAATAAAGAGGCTATGATGTACTGAATTTCAAAGAAAATTACGTAGTAATGAAATGAAATGAAATCTGGAGCCCGTGTTACAAAGAGTTGGGATTGATCCAAATCAATCGCAAGTTTGCAGTCTCCCTATCTTATGTACATAGTTGCGATTGGTATCAACTCTTTGTCAGAGGGGCCCTGGCGATATTTTAAACTGATGGGTAGGTATTCTAGAAAACGGACTAACTTTAGTCCATGGTTTAATCCACCGACTAAGTATGGAATGCCAAGTGTCCATATAAATATATTTTTGAATAATTTGATATGTCCCTAAATTACCATGATAACAACATTCTATCATAGTTATATCGTTGTTTATTAGTTATGTTATTACATTTCATTTTAATTTAGTGACAGATTAAATTATTCTAAAAAATGTTAATTTGTACACTTGGCATTCCATTCTTAGTCGGTGGATTAAACGATGGACTAAAGTTAGTCCGCTTTCGAGAATACCACCCATAGAGACTAAATAGAAGCTCATTATTTTTTGCACCCTAAACACCCAAATTTCATTTTTAAAAGCACAATAATGCATTAGTATAACAGCCATGTTAGTCTCCTGGTCGCAATGTTATATCCATGCTCGAGATGGAATGTGACCCCTATGGTGCAATAAGCTTTGCAAGCTTGTCTCATTATGGAGGTGTCGTGGTCATTCACTTGACTCTCAAACCTAGGGTTGAGGGTTCCAAGCCCAGCTCGGCACTAACGTCTTTTGGCAAGATATTAATCCACATTTACCACCCTCCACCGAGGTCTAAATAGGTAATGATAATTGTAGGGTCGCATGAAGAGCAGTATTTCGATTGACGTGACTACCCTAGGAAAACAAGACCCAATTAAATCTGTTATAATTATATATGATATATTGTGAGGCACGTTTACATTCCATTTAATTTTGAAACAAGTATCGTTTTATGAAATATAACTTCACTATTCATCAATCTGTTCTCG